TATCTCTTGAGCCTGCATAAGCCCCACTGCCAAGTCCTGCTGCCAATTTGAGATGTAACATTGGACCCCTAGGAGTGCAGCCATGGTGACTTCCACGTGCTGACCCTAGGGAAGCATTTCCCCGGGTGGGTATTTTTGAACCAGGAACCCCTTTATCTGCATTCTTAGTTCAGTCTCTCTCCTTTCAGATGAGTTTGCAATTTTATAAGTTGCAGCCTTCCCCAGTGCAAAGTAACAGGTTTCTTTTCCATAGTGCTAATCTCTTTAACAATGACAACTGTCTGCAGACTTGCCTTGTCTACAGCCTTCAACAGCTTTCTTGGCCAAACAGCCCATTTTCATATCTCCCTGCCCCATTTGCATCCCTATCTCGCTTCATAAGAGTAGTGACCAGAAACAGGTAGACAGACTGACTTCTAGCCTGTCTTGAGATCCTGCACTAAGCAAATTACTTTTCAGTTCCACCTCACTTGTGGTCCCAGAACCCATGTACAATGTGGGCAGGTTCCTTGCTGTGACTGTGACTCTGTATTTGTCTCTGAAACCTCCTGGGCTGAGACTGTCAGGGTTTCCTTTAGCATCCTGGCTTTCCAAACTCTCCCCAGAATAGCCCATGAAGTAAGCCAGGGCTTTTCTAGTTCCAAACTCTTCCATATTCTGCAAAGCAGCTCTGAAGACCTAGGAACCACATGGTCAGGCTTACTGTAACAACAGCTCCATTCTCAGTGTCAGCTTCCTGTAGTCGTTATTTTATGTGCTGTAGTTATTAATACCTGACAAAAACAACTTAAGGGAGGGTACGTTTAGCCTCACAGTTTAAGAGCACAGTCTGTCATGGTTGGGAAGGGTTGTCATGAGGAGCTTGGGGCAGCTGGTTAATCCACACTGAGGAAGGAGGGAAGGACGAGGACCAGAGTCCAGCTAGCTTTCTCTTTGTATGCAATTCAAGACCCAGTCCTATGGGATAGTGTTACCCTCATTCAAAGTAGGTCTTCCTTTCGTCTAAACCTTTCCAGAAACGTTCTTGTTGGCACACCCAGAAGATTGTTTCCATAATGATTTTAAATCTAGTCCAGTTGATTAGCCAGGACAGTTGTCTAACCCTCTAGGCAATGAAGTTAGCTGTGCACAGGAGGAGCAGTCCACTGTGAAGAGGTACACAGAAGGCCCTGGAGGTACAAATAACTTACATGAAGAAAGAGCTGAGATGCCTCCATGGCCCCTCCGCTGGCTGTCACCTTCTTCATCACAGGATGCACCAATAGCCTCATGAGTGTGCACCTCTTGAGCCTGCTTAAGTCCCACTGCCAAGTCCTGCTGCCAGTTTGAGATGTAACATTGGACCCCTAGGAGTGCAGCCATGGTGATTTCCACGTACTGATCCTAGGGAAGCATTTCCCCGAGTGGTTATTTTTGAACTGGGAACCCCTTTATCTGCATTCTTAATTCAGTCTCTCTTCTTTCAGATGAGTTTGCAATTTTATAAGTTGCAGCCTTCCCCAGTGACCAAGAAAGAGAAGACTTGGAACCGCCTCTATACAATATGCTAACACCTCACAAATGCAGACAGCGACAGCTTTCTAAATATCTCTAAGACATTCCTGGTGGTCATTGGTTTTCTTTTTGGAAAGAGTAATGACCGGAAATTACCATCCATACTGACTCACGGGCTGTGGTCAAGTATTTGGCTAGATAGACTTGGAAGATACATGAGTAGAAAAAAAAAATGGTAACCAAAAAGTTCTAGGAACGAGACAGATGTGAAGAATGTGATGATTCTGTCCCACATGAATGTTCACCGAAAAGCACCAAGAAAGCAGATGACCCGTTTTGTGCAGCCCAAACAGATGCTCACACTATCCATGCCTAGCACTGACTGATGAGTTTATAACCAACGTAGTCAAAGGATCAGGAGCTCGGGAACGTGGTCCTGTACGCCACCCTGGCCAGAGTCATTGTCCAGTGCTCACTCTGCTGCAGCAAAGGCCAACGCTCAGTCCCTAACAGTCACTGTCCCGCAGACTGGCCAGCCCATCACCTGGGAGACGGTTAGTTATGATGAGTCTCCTCCATCACAGAAGGGGCAGCTGCATCTGGTTCTTACTTGAATATGTAACTTATTCTGGATGTAGATGTGCTTCCCCTGTGTGCCGTACTAGGACCAGACTCTCAGCCATCCTCTGTCCTCTCTCGTGGTAGTCCACATGGTAGTCCTTCTCACCAAGGAGCCCACTTTACAGCCACTGGTGTGTGACAGCGGGCTCAGGGTCAAGAATTAGTTGTCTAATCAAATCCCCTATTACCCTGGAGCAGCTGGCCCAGCAGAAGAAACACATCCTTTGAAATTGTATTAGCCGACTAGAAGTAAAACCTTCAGGCACTGTGTCCTCCTGGAAGCTATGCACGCTCTAGATATGGTGCCATTTCTCCAGTAGGTCTAATGGAAACCAGAAGCAAGGGTGGAAATGGAATAGGCACCACCATTACTCCTAATGATTCAATAGCAGAAACTTTACTTCCGGTCTAATTTCTCAAGCTCTGCTCATCTACAAGTCTTGGTTCTAAAAAAGAATAATTCCGCCAAGCAGTGGTGGCGCACGCCTTTAATCCCAGCACCTGGGAGGCAGAGGCAGGCGGATTTCTGAGTTCAAGGCCAGCCTGGTCTACAGAGTGAGTTCCAGGACAGCCAGGGCTACACAGAGAAACCCTGTCTCGAAAAAAAAACCAAAAAAAAAAAAAAGAAAAAGAAACAAAACAAAACAAAAAAGAATAATTCCAACCAAACTAGAGTCTAGTTCAGTGATCCAGCATGTACCTTGCATCTGTGAGGCCTTAGGCTCCATCTGCAACAATGCGAGTAACAATAAAAAGGAAAACAATGAAGAACAAGGAAGAGGAAGCTTCCATCAGAAACGGCTACAATCCCATTGAACAAGAAGTTGAGACAGCCACCAATCACTTAGGGGTCCTCAAACTTCTGCATCAAAATAGGAACAAAAGGCTTGTTCTAAGTCAACAATGATCCTGGTTACCAAGGAGAAATTAGGTTGCTATTATACAAGGGAAGTTAAGGCAAAATAGGCTTGAAAAACACACCTCTAAACCAACCATAGTTGTCACGAACCTATAATCCTACTGCCTGGGAGGCTGAGGCCGGAAGAAGCCAGAGGCCATAAGTTCCAGACTAGCCTGGGAAGTGAAATGTTGTCTCAGAAAATGGAAGGGAGGAAAGAAAGAAAAAGAAGGGAAGGAAGAGGGAGATGAGGAAAGGGAGTGGGAGGGAAGATCCCAGGGACTCTCTTACTACTATTGTGCCCTGTGATTCAAGTCAGGAGACAGCTACAACAAACATCAGATGAGAGCCTGGGTCAGTCTGCCAGTCTAAGCCCACAGCTAGACGAAGTGTTTACGGACAGAAAGGAAAGCCCCAATGGGTAAGGAAGAAGAAAGCTGGAAACCCTAGCAGCGGCAGCTGTGTGCCTGGCTTACATTCTCCCTCTGTATCTTCAGTAATAGCTAACATAAATCACAGGATACTAGAGTGAACACAACCCAGGCATGGTGACACACATCTGTAACTCCAGCTCTCAGGAAGCAGAGGCAGATATTCAGGGTTCAAGGCCGGCCCAGGTCACATAGTGTGCTAAAGACCAGCCTAAGTCACATAGCAAGACCCTGTTTCAAAAACAAAAACAAAGAAAAACTGGGTGTGGTGACACAATCGTAGGGTTCAGGACACTGAGGCAAATTTGAGACCAGCCTAGACTACATACAGAATGAGATAGTTTCCAAAACAAAAACAGACAGACACTTAAACCAAAGTAGGACATCGGACGGGAACGAACACTGTCAACTTCTGCGAAGTGTTTCTGTTTGTGTGCAAGACACTTCTATGCTAGAGAGAGAAGAGAGATTATTGTTCATCTGGAGACAAAACATGCTTCACTGATCTGAGACAATGAACTGTGGTGACCAGTTTACAAGTCAATGTAAGTAGTCCTCAGTTATCCCAACACCAACCTTGTCCACTTCATGTGTCATGGGGCAGTATGCAGATACCGTTGAAGAGTGCTCGACATCACCTAAACCTTAAAGGGCAGACCTGAGGTTTCTTATGGAAATCCACCTAAGGACAGCGGTTTCCAGCCTGACCTTTCTGGTGGTCCCTGAATCACAGTAAAGATGTTGGGAGTTCAGGAATCTATTTTATGTGTGGAAGAAGCAGGAGAGAGCAGCCAATTTAGGAAGCCAAAGTGATGTGTAGCCCTCGGGGCATATGAGAGAAAGTGGAACTGACTTAGAACTTGCTGCTCATGCCATGAGAATTTCCCCTCACATTCTCCCACCTCCATCTGTCATTCAGGCATTGGGTATAAGGTTCAAAGGCATTGTGGTTTCTCAATCCATGGTCTCAGAGCCCTGCCCTGCTGGTATTGTCCTAAGAGCGCTGCCTGGCAACACTTAGACACCTCTCATCTCAAAGGCGTCCTCTTCAGCCAACTTCATCAGTCATGGGTACCTTGGCACACAGCTGGCTCTCAGTTGCTGAGCAAGTAGGTGTGGCACCTTAAAGGCTTAAAGATGTCAACTAGAAGCAGGCGTGGAAGCACACGCCTTTATTCCCAGCACTTGGGGGGGGGGGAAGCAGCTTTGGGAGGAAACCAAACCTGCTGCTAGCTGGCCATTCAAAAATAGCCTATAATGTTCACAGTAGGACAATATATATACCTTAATAGCAACCATGTTCACCCATAATTATTGCTCAAGAAATACTTTAAATTCAACAGACTGGGAGCTGAAGAGATGGCTCAGTGGTTAAGAGCACTGACTGACGTTCCCAGAGGTCCTGAGTTCAATTCCCACCAACCACATGATGGCTCACAACCACCTGTAATGGGATCTGATGCCCTCTTCTGGTGTGTCTGAAGACAACTACAGTGTACTCACATACATAAAAATAAATACGTCTTTAAAAAATAAATAAATTCAAAAGACTGCTCTTTGAGCCATTTCTTTCTTTTATTTACAGTTTGTGTTCAATGCAAATCAATTCCATAACATGAGAAGTTACTATGAATCAAAGCATAAATACACAAACACAATATACAATCAGTTGTACAGCATTCAGATATGAGGCAAGGGGAGTGTTCATTCACACACACAGTAGCTTCGGGTCTGTGAGGTCTCCTTCTTCCCAGGTAGGTTTCTAAAGATGGAGAAAATGACTCTGGTTATCAAGACTACTGTGGCCATATTAGGTCCCAGAATGGGTAAGCATCAGTGTGTGACCATGCGAACAAAAGATGTTTTTCAGGATATGTCTATGTTTTAGAAGGTATGTGTGTATCAAGGAAATTGGAAAAACTTACGGTAGAACCAAGCCCCCTTTCAGGCACAGGACCAATGTCAAACTATCTAAAAATATGAACTGATAACCAAAGTATTCCAAACGTGACTATTCTGATCCGTGGTTTTGTTTTTCTCTTTAAAAAAAAAAAAAAGTATTTACAGAAATTGTATAAAAGACTTTGTGGATTCAATGAGTTGGCTTCCAGTCCTCACATCCCAAACGCTGGGTTTACAGTTTTGGCTCCTCTGCATGTTTGCCTGTAGAACCTGAAGACTCATAGTTTTGCCTTGCTAACAGACCATACTTTCAATTATAAAAAGCCCTCCACATACGCCAAAATAAAAAGCAGCGTTTTGAAATCAGCTGAGGTCAACATGATTCTGCTCTCTGGAACCAGTTTACTTAAGTGAATTTGGTACTCGTGGTGAGTGAGAAAAGGCAACGGGAAATGTCTACCGTTTGACTTTTGAAATCAGATTTATTCAGTGGTGGCTACATTTTGGGGTGGATTCCAATCCATCATTGCCTGGCACATGTCAATTACTAATAAAGGTCAAATATAATGTCAGACCTAAAGCCACAAAAGGAGGGTGCAAAACGTTCAATTCTGAAGAGAACAGTCATAGTTCAGCAACATGGAACTCTACCTAGAGCTTAGCATATTAAATTAGTAGTAACGAAACAACACATTGGGAATTTAAAGTAACGCCTGGTAGTTCCTTCCAACATATACATAAATAGCATCAGAGAAACTTTTGAATATCACCTAACTGAATTATGGCCTTATAGGTCAAATGAACCAATGAAAACAATGGATCTCCATTCCATACCCGACCCTCCTCTCTACATCACACCTATGCCCGACTTCCAGGGAGAGCTTTAAGTGTCCACATTTCCTAAGCCACATTCAAGGAAATCACATCGATTTTGGATGCTGTCTTCATCTTGGAACGTAAAACTCCAGCAGATTCAATGTTAGCATCTCTCCATTCTCAAACCCTTCACGAGTCCTTTAAACCGGTCAAATTTCGAATTCTCAGTGTTTTCTGTTGAGGTATGGTAACAGCCAATTTGATGTGGACCTGTTTCTTCCTGGTCACACTGGACTTGTGGTTGCCATTTGGGGTGGGTCTAGAAGGTGGGGAAGTAGAGACGTTTCTTGGCCTGAGTCTCTAACAGTAGAGATGTAGAAGAGAGAGCGAGAGGGCCAGGAGACCAGCTGTGGACTGCAGGGAGTTGCCACCTGCTCTGGTGGTAGCATTAGTTGGATTTGGGGCAGCAGAGATACTCTGGTTGCTGGAAAACGGTGCAACAGATGTTTGGTTGCAATAAATCTAAAATGCATAAGGAAAAAGAAATCACAGATAAATTTTCAGAACCATCCAGAGCTAACCCCGTTTGCACCCTGTAATAGCATTCATAGTCTCTGTGGCTGCAGTGGAAGTCAAACACAGGGTCTTAGGGACAGTAAGTATTTACACTCCACCACTGAACTATCCTCTCCAGTCCCTGCTCCATCCTGAGATGGCTTTTTCCCACATTTTCCCTCTTAGCCACATTTTAAATTCTGAATTCTTGGACTCATTCTCACTTTAAATCTCACCAAAATGATTCTCTTTAGTCTTAAAACCACCTCCACAGACACCTAAAGAATGCACATAGTAACAACTGTTCTTGAAGCCCAACGGGGTGATGCACTATCTCAGCACTTGGAAAGCAGAGGCAGAAGAGTCAGGAGTTCGAGGCCAGCTTTGAACGGTTTGTCTCAAAAACAAAGAGTTCTCCAGACTACATTACTGCCAAGAGCATGACAGCTTCTAGCTCTGCACAGTGTAACCAGGTATCTGCTTCATCTCGTTTCAGATACTATATGGATTAGCTAGCATCGTAGGCAAGGTTTCATGTTTCCCTAGACAAGGGGCTATTTTAAAGTTGCTTAAAATTTTTCAACTTTAAAATACTGTAATTGAGCCAGGTCAGTGGTTCTGATCTGTAACCCTAGCACCAGAGAATGAAATCCGAGAGATCTAGACCTTAAAGCCAGCCTGGGTTTTACACCTAGACTCTGTCTCAAGAAAATAAAACCTGGGCTGGAGAGATGGCTCAGAGGTTAAGAGCACTGGTTGCTCTTCTAGAGGTTCTGAATTCAAATCCCAGAAACTACATGGTGGCTCACAACCATCTATAATGAGATTTGATTCCACAGGAAAATTTACGTGTGGTCAAGAACTATGGCACACACCTTTAACCCTGGCAGTCAGGAAGAGGCAGAGGCAGGCAGGTCTCTCTAAGTTCTAGTCTAAAAAAAAAAAAAAAAAAAAAAACAGCCCAGTCCAGTCAGCACTACATAGTGGGGCTTATCTCAAAAACAATCAAAACCGTGTGTGTGGTGTGGGGGGCGAAGGGGATGTGTGTATGCATACACTTGTGTGGTGATTGAGGTCTGTGAGTTTGTTGGGTCACAGTCCCTCCTGGTGTGCTGAGTCTCTGGCTTCACACAGCCTGGGAAACATTGCCTTAAGGAAATATCTTAGGGGTTGGAGATTTAGCTCAGTGATAGAACCCAAGCGCAAGGCCCTGGGTTGGTCCTCAGCTCCAGGTTGGTAGCGGTGGTGGGGTGGGGGGTGGGAGGGGATATCTTAACATTTAAAACTTAAAAGCACATTGAGTATCCTATCTGCTTCTTTGAAATCTTGAAATTATAACCCTTCCTAAAACCCAAAAAAATTTGTCTTAAATTGAAAATTGGGAGCTGACTGACCACCCAGGAATGTGGTTCAGTAGCACACATTTGCTAGTCTGTACAGGTTCCTGGGCTCAACCGCCAGCACTACAGGTTAATAGTAACAATGATTAATTTATTCTGAATTTCAAGAAATATTGGAGAGTTCTTGCTCTACGGCAGAAGGATTTCAGTTCAAACATCCTCCCTTCACATAAGGCAGGGTTTGGAGTTAAATTTCACCAGCTCATCGCCTGGTGACTAGCTAGACGCTGTGGCCGGGAACCAAGGCTTCCCCTGTGTCCCAGCAACCCTAGTGGCATATTCACCGCTGCTTTTGCAAGCCATGAAATGCACAGTCCGGCGAGGCACGTGATGCTCTCTCCTTTGTCATGGAACAAAGGCTGATCGGAGTTTTCAGCCCTCGCTGAAAGGAGGGTTTGCCAGGGCTTGCTAGAGCTTCCGATTACAAGCAGGAGGGAGGGCGACGTGGCACCAAGAATCTAGCCACACGTACTTTCGGCCGCCCCTTGATCCAAAGATAAGCCCTCCTACGGCAGCACTAGCTAGCTCCTTTTGTTCTACAGTCGTAAGGCCATTAAGCAAATATTGACGAAAGAAATGTGCAAATTGTATCAAAGTAGACTACTCACACCAAAATCCTGATCCAGGCAATTATACTTACTGGGTGCCTACTGTGTGTAAGATAGAGAACGTCCGATCAGGAAGTGGCATTTCCACAAAAAGGAAAGCATTAATACGCTAAGTTGTTTAAAACAAGGAGCCTCTCTTAGGGGTACCCAAAAGTAGACGTTCTTTATTTATACAAAGAGCTTTTAGTACAGCGGGTGACAAAAAAACTAAATAATAGTAATAAATAATAGTAAAGAAAAAGGAGCCCAATGCGTTAATCTGAGTCTAGAGGTTCTCTCCAACACCATCAACGATTTTTTATACGTTAATTATTAAATTGGCATTAAACAGGTTTTCTCCACCAAGCTCCCTTGATTTGCTTAACCAACACTTCCTTCTCAACATTTCTGAGGGAGGGGGTTGGAGAGAGGGAATCTGAGTAAGACCAACCAGTTTCACGACGCCGAGCCCCTCCAAGGGGGGGAGGGGGGTCGGGAGGACTGAGAAAGGCCCCGGGGCACAGCCAACCCACAGCGAGGAGACAATGGGGTACAGTTACCCTTCCTGAGATGGGGAAGATGAAGCGTGTTTCAAACTCTTGGGCTGCTCTCCCAGGTGAGCCCGGAGCCTGGATCGCTAGGAGCAAAACCCGCCGAGCCCAACTTTTCAGGGGCGAAGCCCGAGGGACATCCCTAAGCGAACCAAAGGCTGCGGAAATCCACCGTCTGCTTCTCTGAGTCCCGCCCCGCTCTACCAGGCTCAGCTCCAGATCTGGTTCTGGGCGCGGCGCCTTCACCCTTTCGCTAACGCAGCTAGAGCAGCGCCACCCATGGTGTTGGGGGGCGAGATCTGTACCCGGGACAAATCTAAGAGAGGAAGAGGCTGTGGACAAAGCCTGGAGGAAAATCGGGACACTATAACGTCCTGTCCTCCGTCTCTATAGTGTCAGTGGCTCTAGGCTGACACGGGGCCCCTAAGGTGGCCAGGGATGGAGGTGGGGGGGTCGCACCGCGGGAGTTAGTGGCTTCGGGAGGTCCCTAGCTAAGCTTCAGGACTGAGGACTCGGGTGGGAGATAGAGCCACAACCAGGGCTTCCTGGGCGATCTCCAAACCGGTTTGGACGGTGGAGGATGGGCGTGTGCCACGCTCCCCAGAAGGGGACCGTCCCCTCTCTTTGTGTGGTTCTCACGGAGCGCGAAGACCCTCCGTGGGAAGGGAGGGGGCGCTCTCTCGAGGGAGTCCACACCTCGAGTTCCCCAAGTCAGTTACACAAAATTCTCTCCCCTATCCCAGTGCGTGGCCGGAGGTGGGGACTTCACCCCTCCTACACACACACACACACACACACACACACAGAGGACGCGGCCCCAGTGACACACCGAGAGCAGGGTCTCACCTGCGTGGGTAGGAGCAGTGCCAGAAGCAGCAACCCCAGCCCTAGCCTGGCCACCATCGCTCTGCCCATGTCCGCTCCGTCGGTGCGCGGCGCGACTCTCTGGATGTTCGGTGCGTGGAGATGTGCTCGGCTCGCGCGGGCGCAGGCAAGGTGGGGAGCGCGGCCGGCCGGCGGGACCTTATATACCGGGACAGCCACAATAGCCGTGACGTACGGCGCCCGCCCACCCGTGCTCTCCTCCTCCCCCCCCCCCCCCCCCCCACCCCCCACCGCCCTGCGCGGCTCTCGCTCTCCCTCCCCCACCGCCTGCACGGGGCCCCGGGTGACTTGGGATGTCCCGGGGCGGCCAGCGCGGCAGGTGGGCGGACGCCCCGGGCTCTGGCACAGCTAGGGTTTCCCGGGGCGGGCTGCGTGCACAGGCGCGGGCGACTCCCACACGGGACCCGGGGCGAGCACACGAACCACACACGCCGCCCGGCCCAAGTTTCCTTTGTTTCCCGGGCACTGCCATCTTACCCCCAACACGAAAAGTCGAAGCCGCGGGCGCCGCGCAGACTGCGCGGAGCTCAGGGCTGGGTTTTCTCAAGTGCCCGCTGCAAGGGGGAACTGGGCAGGCTTGGCAGCTCCCTGGGCCGTGGCGCAGGGTTGGCGAGGAGAGAGACCCGGCGCCGGCCGCTGTCCCTTGCGGGCTGCACGGCAGGGACCGCAGGGACCCCGGGCCCCAGCCGCCCCTCGCTCGGCTGCTCGCTTTGTGTTTGAGCTGGTCTAGTGCTGCATCCAGCAGAGCGCACCCGGGCATACCCCCACAGCATCCACCCGGACCTAGGGAACAGCCAGCTGCGCTCGGCCACTGGGCGGGACGCTGCGAGGGACTGGGTTTGGGTCTCAATACTCTCCACGTTTCTGGGGACGCGCTTGTTCTGCTTCTGGCATAGTGCTTGCTCAGCGTTCGAACGCTTTCACGTACAAGCCGTCTTCCCCCATAGTTGCCGTTTAGTAATTTGATAAACCGATGCGAAAAGATTAGTCATCGGTCTGTACGTTTTAATGGAATCTTTCGACCATTCTTTTTTGAAAACTTCAAAGTGAATTTTAAAATAATTTAGTGGTAGAATATTTTTAATTTTTTAATCACCTTCCTATTTAAAGTTTAGCCCATGTGTTTAAAAAAAAAACCTAGCAACGGTGGAAATTTGTTTAAATTTCAATTTTTGCGGAACAGCCTCGTAAAAAACAAAGTTGGTTTTATGGGAGCAAGCTGACAATGGAGTCCATAGTCGTTGGTTTGTGGCTGCGTTAGCCTGAGCCTTACCGGGTCAGCCACAGCCGCTCAGTAACTTTCCACGTGTGAGATGTGCCTGAGCACACAGGAATTTTTGTATAGCGCCAGTGAACTTTCCTGTTTAACAGTTACCACACTGTATAGAAAGGTCGTTCTGTGCCCAGCTTCGGTGCTCCTCTCCCAGGGTGGCGCAAGGACTGACTCAATAGCGCCTAATCCCAAGGGCGCCGTCTTCAGAGCTTCTCCAGGACAGGCTATGGGACTACCCCTGGAGTTAGTTACTCCTGGCCTCCATTTGGTTTTGCCCTGGGCTTGTTTTTTCTGCCCCTCGCCTCAGCTCTCCGTTCTTCCTCCTCCTTCCTCTGACATTTTGTGCCCCCCCCCCCCCCCCTTTCTTGGTATTAGCTGAAGGATATGTGCTGGTGCCTTAGTTAACAATACAGCCTCTGGAGCCAGGTATCCAGGCTCAAAGGCTGTGAGACCATTTTTTTAATTATTAGTATTAACTTTGGACAAAAAGCTGGGGCTTGGCCCCCCCCCCCCCCGTAAACTGAAGATCACTGCAAATTCAAGGCCAGCCTGGTCTACATGAGCAAGTTCCAGGCTATCCAGTGTTACAAAGCAAGACCCTGTCTCAAAAATAAACACAAAGGACTGTTGTGTTTGTAAGTGCTCCAGTGCCTGCCTCTTAGCTCTCTCCCTTGGCGGCTGCTCCTTGGCTGGAGGTAACAGGAAACAGAAAGCATTCACCTTCCCTGTTTACCTCTCTGGGTGGCTTGAAAGAAAACAAGCTGAGCCAAAGCCCCAAACTGATGAGGTGTACAGGACTCATCTCCGCCGTAGAATCCCCCCTGGAACTTTCGGTGTCTACAGGATGTTGGCCATTCTGTGCCCAGAGGGGGTGTCCTGACCTATGACCCATAAAGTCTCAAGTCTAAGATTCTGGAAGTGCTGCTTCGAGCTGGCTGTTGGTGAGCGTTCTTTCTGCTCCTCCAGCTTTTCCGCGGTTTGCTTTTCTCTCAGCCAAGGATAGCTCAAGCCGCTACTAAAAGGAATCTTACCACTTATCTCGGTTTTTCTTCAGAAAATGTCCAATTTACATTTTATGTAGAAGCTATAGATAGCATGGCGTGGTTTTGAGACTGATTGTTCATATATTAATACGTGTGCGAAAGCTGGTGACTAAAGTCGGTTTTCTCCTTCCTCCTCTTCTTCCTCCTCCTCCTCCTCCACCACCACCTTTTTCTTCTTACATGAAATTGTCTATGACGTTCTTTCTTGTTGCTGTTTGACAATCACTGTGTAACTTGGGCTGGCCTGAACTCTGAATCCTTCTACCTCAGCCTCTAGAACCCTGGGGGTTGATTACAGCATTCTGGACATTTTGGATGTTGGTACTGTCCTGAGTAAAATTGTAATGGCAAGGTATACAATTCCTATGTGCCCAGTGGAGAGGAAGGCTGGCCACCAGACAGACACAGCACTCAAGAGACCCTGGGTCCAGTCTGCTCTGCCAGCTCCTAAGATCCTGTCTGACTTCTGGTTGAGCTTCGCCACCTTCCAACACCTAGAGTACAACACTTGTCAGGTGGACCTACGTGCAAGAGATGCAGCCCTAACTGAACTGATCCCAGCATGTAGCACAGTGCTAACCCACAGGACACACCGAGCCACCTCTGCTGTTGCCCTGGGCATTATTCTGTGGCTCTTAAATAGTGCTCCTTTCCTCCGGAGCATCTTTGTATGTGGTGTTCTTTTCTTTTTCTTTTCTCTCCCTGCCCCATTTATTTATTCTCTTACTTACTTTCTTACTTATCACTATTGGGGGTGTCTAGATGTGCCACATGTGAAGGTCAGAGGAGTGTGTTCTCTTTCTAGCGTGTGGGTTGCAGAATTCGAACTCAAGTCGTCAGGCTTGATGGTGAGCACCTCTTCCTGTCAAGCCATCCATGTGGCCGTGTGGCCTGAAACGCCCCCATGTGGCGTTTTGTTTGTGTGTCTATGAAGTCAATAGCGCAGACAGCATCCATACCCGGCTTTTTGTTTCTTTCTTTTTTATTCTGAGACACAGAGATGTTAAGAAACTTGGCCACAGCCACTGAACCAGTTATGATGCCACCTCTAACGTTACAAAGTTTCCTGACCCAGGTTTCAAGTCCTTTCTGCTTTGCTGGGTGGATGATACAGCTCATCGCTACAACTGGCCTAGTATGTTCATGGCCCCAGGCTCAACCGTAGTATTGACAATTTAAAAAGAAAGGAGAAAAGGAAAGGAAGGAAGGAAGGGAGGAAGGAAGAAAGGAAGGAAGAGGCTAAGGCAGTAGGATTGTAAACTCAATGCTAGACTGGAATCTTAGCAAGACCCTGTCTCAAAATAGTAATAAAAGGGCTGGAGATATAGCCCAGGGTAGACCATTTGCGAGTATGTACAAGGCCCTGGGTTCCATCCCCAGTACATAGGAGTGGAGGCAGAAATTCAGAGACAATTTCCACCCCATGTCCTCTCCACCTAGCACTAAATATTGGATAAATGAACTAACATTAAAAAAAAAAGATTAATTTGCATTTTGATTTTTAAAAACTAAGTCTTGTTTTTAGGAAAATAGAAGATTAATAGAGAGCTAAATTACTTGACATTTTTAGCAAAATGAATGTGAAGCAATATATTAATGCAATACAGTGTGCTTTCTGGGCTTTATTGTGGACACGATGCCTGAAGTAATCACATTTGATTAAAATCCCCTTCCAGTTAACGGTGCTGGTTTTACAATGCTTCTTTCTTATTTCTATGCTGCCCTGTACTTAGCTGGCATTCGGCTCTTCAGTTTATCTTGGTTTTTAGGCAATCTTTGTTCCTACCTTTCAGCCCCAAGTCTGGAGGCAGGGGAAGTGACAAACGGGGTTGGTATTCTGGCTAATGTGGTCCCAAGTCCCTGCTGAAGCCTGTTCGAGCAGCTGGTGGAGTCTCCTGAACACTCTGTGGGGCTGTGCTGCCCTCTGCTGGCCAAATGCATTGTTAGCACTCGTCAAAATAAGTGGATGGATGGATGGATGGATGGATGGATGGATGGATGGATGGATGG